CAAGCAGAGAAAGTCAATTATCATATGGTTTCACTTATTTGTGGAACATAAGGAATAGCATGGAGGACATTAGGAGAAGGAAGGGAAAAATGAAGGGGGGGGAATCGGAGGGAGAGATGAACCATGAGAGACTACATCTATTATTTTAAACTAGAAGTCAATATTCTGATTGTGTAATACAGCCACATAAAACAGAAATGTATATAGAGTAATGATTACTCAGTTAATAGCTAGTAGGAAATAGAACTTGCTTTTGCTTGCAACCCTTCTATTTTTTTTTTTTTTCAACTTTTTGAACAGGTAACACATTCCTATTGTTCATAGGAACTAAAACAGATTTTCCTTGAAAGTCTGGTAAATTTGGGCTACATCACACGAGTGTGTTTTTCCACTGTGCATGTGGTGGAGTTTGCTGTAAGGGGACCCTACTGAGCCATTATACTGGGACAATTCATGTCAGAATCTTTAGGTTGTCCAAGTATCACAGAGAAGAATGTTCAAGTTTCCTGCGTAGATACTGGATACTAAATTAGAACAGAAGTGGATAAACATTTATTTAATTCTTTTGTTTTCACCAAGGAATATGTTATAGACTAAACTGTGTCTAGCTGAAATTTGTATGTTAAAGTCCTACCCCCAGTGTGACTGTATTTGGAGATAGGGCCTATAGGAGGTAATAAAGGTTAAATGAAGTCATAAGGGTGAGGTCTTAATCCACTAGGACTTTTCTTTTATAAGAAGAAAAGAAGAAAGAAGAAAGACACCAGAATGCTCTTTGTCTCTGAGTGTGCACAGAGGAAAGGCCAGGTGAAGACACAGAAGGAAGCCATGTACAGCCCAGGAAGAGTCCTAGTCCAACCAGAAAACAACCCTCGGGTGTTGGACTTCTGGCCTCCATCCAGAACTGTGAGCAAACATCTGTTGTTCAAGCCCCCCTAGTCTGTGGTATTTTGTTATGACAGCCTGAGCAGACTAATATAGTGTACATATCCTCCCTTGGGAGCCTTCTTCCTTCTTCAGAGACTCACCCAATCATCTAGGGAGAACGATTCCCCTGGTGGCATAGAATGGGCAAAGGGAGCTGGCATTCTAACTGAATTTTAAACAGACTTTCAACACACATCTCTCTCTCTCTTTTTATTCCTATTTTACTCCCACTTCTAGAGATGCTTATTGTAATTTCCAAAGTTTTTTTTTTTTTTTTTTTAAAGATTTTATTTATTTATTTGACAGAGAGAGAGCACAAGTAGGCAGAGTGACAGGCAGATGGAGAGGGAGAAACAGGCTCTCCGCTGAGCAGGGAGCCAGATGTGGGGCTCGATCCCAAGACCCCAGGATCATGACTTGAGCCGAAAGCAGCCGTTAACGGACTGAGGCGCCCAGGTGCCCCGTAATTTCCAAAGTTTTGAAGGATCTGCAGTGTAAAGCAGGTGGCTTTCCATTTTTTTTTTCCATTGGGAGGTGAAGATTTGGTTTCCTTTTTTTTGTTGTTGTTACAAAGGCAATTACCACTTATCCACTTGCTATCCAATTCCCAAAATGTTGCTATCATCTCCATTTCTGTTTGTTCTTTTATCCTTTTATTTTTTAAATTCCACTAAGAGTTGTTTAGTGAGAATTCAAAAAGAAAGAGTACTTAAATGATTATGTTCAGTCCCCTTCATCATTAATTGGAAATTACCTCTTTTGAAGCACTAATCCCAATAATTTTTTTTTATTTCTCTTTATTATATGATTATATGTATATATTAATTTTACATTTTGGGGGGTATCTTCCTGTAATAAGAGTCCCATGAGGATATCCCATGGGATAAAGATGGTGACGATTCTGACTCACTATTTTACTTACTATTGTATCCTCAGTACCTACTCCATAAGTGCTGACAGACACACAGCAGAGGTTCAATAATCATTTCTGAATCAACAAGGTATTCCTCAGGTTTTCATCGTTTGTCAATTACTGTAATTCTTTCTGGATGTAAATCCTACTGTCCTCACTCTAATTCCACTTTCTCCCAGCTCACGTTGATATTGTCTTCTGATCACTGACCAAGATGCAATTGGGATGAAGCAATAAAGATATGTTTATACTTGCCTGTAGAGGAGTGAGGTTTGAAAAAGCATTATGAAAGTTATGATTTCCCTAAGTCCTCTAAATATTTCCAAATAACAGCACTCCAAATACTTAAACATCATTAATTTTTTTGTTCAATACCCTAAATATCATATAAGATTTTAAGCAATGCTCAATATTCAACCCAATTAAATAGCTTTTTTTTTTTTTTCAAAAGGTTAACACGTTTGCCATCTAAAACTATCTTGAATACTACCTGGAGTATATATAACTCACTTTAGGAAACACATTATAAATATATATTTATAAATACGTATATATAAATATAAAGAACAACATCAACCATATTATTTCTAACAATTCTTAGCTTAATTTAAAATTAGTCACCATGGATTAAACTGAAATGAGCCAAAACCTGATTGGTGTTTTAGGGTTTTAGCATGTAAAGGTTAGTGTTTATTTTATCATATAATGAAGGGTTAGAAAATTCATTTGAGTTGATTTTTATGAAATTAGTTTAATTATAAATAAATACAATGCCTGTGCTCTTTATTGGGGAGTAAATATTAGTCTTAAAATATACAAGAAAACACAATTAAATATTTTATTTTTGTGCCAAATAACCCAGTGATGTTTGCTATAGCCATCAAGTCTCAATTAACGGTATGTTCACTCTTTACTGTAATGGGTTAAAATAGAAAACCAGGGTGTTCTTCAATAAGATTTTGACTTTATAATCTAGGTTTATATCTAAATGATAATGCCTTTATGATTCTTTTGGGAAAAATCCATTTTGTACTTACCTACAATGTCATTCATAAGGCCTACAATAGTCTCATCTCCTGTAATCCAAGGACGTTTTCCTAAGTCATGACCATAGGCTCCCCTGAAATTGAAAAGGGACATAGACACTATTAGATTTGTATGTGTGTATGTGTGCGCATGTGTAATTTTTCATATATCAGCATTAGCAACTGGACATTTCTAAATGAATCTTTGTAATGTTTTAGTAATTATACAAAATCATGCTTCTTTAAAACCAAAAGTAATACTTGAGAACTCTATTTTTTAATTTGTCATTTCTTAATTTCTTTAATTTCCATTTTATGGGAGGGTAGTTGAGATTGCCTATGTACTACTTCATTATTTTACTCTATTTTAGAGTCTAAGATATTGTTTTTTTCTTCTCTATTTTGAAAATTTCAAGACTATTTGAACATTCTACTTGTATACCTGTAGCACATAGTAATATCTATACTAAAACATAGCCACTATTTTTTGAGGCTAGAAATTAAAATGATTGTAAATTCAGTTTTTAAATACAGCTACAATCTGTAACCTAAACAGAAGTGTGTAAAATGTGACTATATTCATGATGACATTTTAAGTAGATAAATAAACTTGGCAATAATCAAAGCCAACATTATATCTTGACCTATTTTCTAGCAATTTCATCTCCCATATTCTAGCTCAATTTTATTATTCTAGTAAGTATCCCAGTAGGCATAATGGCAAAACACAAAAGAGGTAAGAGAACTTCCACTCTCAAGAAGTTTCCATTAAATGAGGAAGGAAATACATTTGAAATATGGAAGAAGAAACTGAAACAAAGAATCAAGGCGGGAGTGACTGAATGTGCTGTTGCAAACTTGTGGCAGGAAGCTAGGAATTAATTGTTCTTAATTCCTTAGAAACCCCAAAACTCCCTAAAGTTGGAGAAAGGAATGAGCCCGGTATTTTTTTTATAGTGCAAACTGTGCTTGAATCTATACTCTGAAATTCAGTAAACTGGCAGTAGTGAGTGGTAAACCTGTTCTCAGAGGTGAAGGGTAGCAGAGTATGTCACCCCAAAATATGTCGCTGTGGTAGATTGATTATCTTAAACTATAGGCACTTGAAAAACAGCAAGCGCAGCGAGAGGCTCTCTCTGTACTCCCCTATCTGCCTGAAGACAGATCTTTCAAAAGGAACTCAATTGCCATAAATCCCCTCCCCAGCAGTTTCATCAACCGGGGAAGATTGAGTCTTGCCACAGGAGAGGAGACTAGAAGTCAACACTACACTCAGATGGGCTTTTTCACAACCTATGGTAACTTTTATCTGTTCTTCTAAGGGCTCTTCATCTTTCCTAAAAATCACTTATTCCGCTGTAAGTGGCCTACATCCTCCTCCTCTTTTCTTATTAAGATAAGATTTAAGTCTGAATTCTAAGTCACCGCGGGGAGGGGGAGGTCCTTTGACCCATGTGTCTCCTGTGTGTACAAGAGCGATACGTGCTAATAAACTTGTGCGGGTTTTTTTCCTCTTACTAAGCTGTCTTTTATTACAGGGGTCTCAGCTAAGAACTCAGAAGGGTCTGGGGAAAATTATTTTCTCTCTCCAGTGGGTTAACAGGACGAAAGGAGCCTTGTTTTTAGCCTTTGTGGATTTTCATGATGTGAATATCCCAAGTGGTCCATTTCCTGGCATCAACCAAAATCCTTAATATTTAATGACTGGCTTTCATTGCCTGGTCTGAGCCAATTCCAGGTCACCACTGGTTATGAGACTACATGTATCATAAGCTGATAAAGCCTGTAAAAGTAAAAGTAAATGGGTGGCAATATGCACCTGAAAGGATGGCTGTGAAAAATAAATAAGATAACATGTAAAAGAGACTGGCACATAGCATCCCTTATCTGACTGTTCCCTAATGTAAATCTGCGTGGGCATGTGGGGTACAATGCAATTTTTAAACTAATATTTTGATTACTAATTTTGAAACTAATATTTTGTCAGTATAAACTGAGATGAGGTAAGAGGACTTTGAGAATAAATAGAGACTATAAGAACTAAGGAGGAAAAGGAGGGCAATTGCTAGTTATTATTATTCATATTATTATTAGATAGCCGGCAGCTTGCCTCTTTCTTGACTTCCAATATAAATGCTAAAGACAAAAATCATTATCATTAAATGGTAGTTAAAGGCAGATACTTGGATCCTTTTTTATTTTAATCACATAGGGCTCTGTGGCCTTGCTGATAGCACAATACATCTTATTACATTTAGGTAGTAAAATTCTACGTTCTGCCTCAGAGAATTTATGTCTCAGAATAGTAGGCCACCTACTTCTCACTCTGGTAAGACACCGTGGTAATAATCTTTAAGAGTATGTTTCTTCCTGCCATGCTCTTGGCATCTCCCTGCACCTTTAAAATATCACACACACAGTCTGCTTCTTTCCTTTTTGTCAGTTGATTAGCCTGGGGTAGTGAAATGTATTTAGGAAGTTGTTACCCCAATAAATTCAAACTAAAGTGGCCTGTCTTTACAAAGCTTTGATGTAGATTACAGTGCACTTTTAAACATATGTATCAGAGTTAAGAAAAAGATTACATTGCTCTCATTCAGAACTAATACTTGCAGCATAGTTGCAATCTTGTCTTACAAGTGCTGCAAAGGAAAGGAGCATGGCAGACAGTTCCCTCAGGACCGCAGCATTCATCATTCCCCCGAGTGGGGTGTGCTCGGATATGTCTACGGAGTGCTATCTGCTCATGAAATTAGATTTCAGGATGTAAAATCGAATTAGGAAGTTAACAGAGGATCCTCTTTGAAAGAGGACTCTGCTTTAACCACCCTACAAAATAAAAAGTAGCCAGGCTTTTAAAAAGCTCCTTCCTGCGCGCGCCCCCCCCCCCCCCCCCCGCCGGCCAAGGAAATAAGACATCACAGAATCCTTAAGATCACCACTTTTTTTTTTTTTTAATCTATGATCCAATTGATGATTAGCCACCACAGATGTTAGGAAAATCTTTGTAACATGTCATACCATGTACATACTTTCTTATTCTTACTGAAGGGCAGCGGACTATGCCACACCAAAATTCACCTCTTTGGCATAAAGATTACCTTGAGCTGAAGGCACCTGAAAAACAGCAAGTGTAGGGACAAGCTTCCTCTGAGCTTCCCCATCTGCCTAAAGACAGGTCCTCCAAAGGAACTCAACTATCATCAATCCCTCCCCAGGAATTACATCAACCAGAGAAGATTGACTCTGGTCCCACAAGAGGAGACTAGAAGTCAACACCACACCAGATGACTTTGTCACAAACTATCACATCTCCTATCTATTCTTCTAAGTGCCTTTTATCCTTCCTAAAAATCATTTATTCTCCCCTAAGTGGCCTACATCCTACTCCCCTTTCCCTAGTTAAGATGACATATAAGCTCTCAAATTTCACGGATTTTTTTTTTTTTTTTGGTATTCACTTTTTTCCCCCCGGGATGCCCTCATGCCCATAATATTAATAATTAATAAGTAGTAATTATTATTTCCTGTTAATCTGTGTGTTGTCAGTTTATTTTATAGGTCCAGTTGTTGAATGAAGAGGGGTAGAGGGAGCATTTTTTTCTCCCCAGAATACACTTTTTAAAAAAAAATATTTTTATTTATTTATTTGACACAGAGGGAGAGCACACAAGCAGGGAGAGAGGCAGAGAGGGAGAGGGAGAAGCAGGCTCCTCTCTGAGCAGGTAGCTTAAGGCGGGAGTCAATCCCAGGACCCTGGGGTCATGACCTGAGCCACCCAGGCGCCCCAACTTTTTTTTTTTTAAAGGAACACATGAACTGAATGAGACTGCAGTGTCTGCAGGAGCACACCTCCCCCTTGTGCTTCACCAGCACCCTTTTTGCACACATTGCCATCCAAGTTAGTCACTGCCAGCTAAGCACGCGGTTTGTTCCTAATATGTAATCCAGTGGGCTATTTTCTTCTTAAATAAGCCTACCTAAAGTGTCACATGGGTCTTAGAAGAATCCCTATAAAGATACAACTGGGTCAAATTTTTGCTCCCATGAAAAAGAAAGAAAATCATTTATCGAGTAGATATGACAATGCAGAAGACCTAAACTATTGTGGTTGTATCTTAGGGACATAATATACATTTCTCAATTTACAGTGTGCTCTTCGGGATGGATATATCAGATATATCTTTCTCTTCTAGCCAAACGTTCCCACTGCGATTATTAGCCCATGTTATTTTCCTTTAAATAATCTGGGCCGTTAATAAATCTATAATACATAAATATGTAATATTAAATGTTCTAAAAAAAATTCTGGCAGACCCACAGACCCCTATCAATGCTGTTTCTAATTGTTATAGCCCCATTTTGCTGGTAATTAATTATATATCAAATGAGTCAAATCACCATAAATTTTTTCTATTTCAGAATGTTATAAATATCTGAATATTGTTATTTCCCAAAACAAATATACTTCTCCCAAGTAAAGTAATCTACTTTGGAAATCACATACAGTTGAAAATAACAATAATAAGCACTTAAAACCCACAGAAGTAAGTGCTTTATTGTTATTGCTTTGTCTTGAATAACTTAAAAGTTTTAGAAGAAATCATTCAGGCCCAAAAATATTTCTAAGTATGCCTCTATTCTTGACTTTCCTCTAGCACAAGTAATCAAAGTCAGTAGCTGTATGAATTATAAAATCTGGCTGCCCTATGGCCAGTGACGGTTTATTTTGTAGGTAGGTAGGTAGTATGTCTGTGATAGGACATAAAAGATAGAGACACGGACATTAACAGCCATGAGCCAAGTGGTATTTCCTACCTTATATGGCTTGGATGGCCAGTCAGACTTGTTATCAATATCCCAGAACAATATCTCACTTAGTCAAAGGACTCTGATTTTTATGTTACTGTTAAGATTATACATTTCTAATATTATTTTTTTCCTGTTAAGCAACTAATTTCAGTTTGCATTAGAGTATTTAGTAACTATGTAGCTCTCTTTGACTCAGTCCTTCTCAAAATCTTACACTGGTCAAGAAGAGAGGAAGGCACTGGCCTGATTTGGGTATCAGCTAAGAAGTAGGGTAGAAGTGGGGCTGGAGAAGGTGAAGACGAACAGGGAATCAGGAAAACTCGCCACAGTAATGGGAGGCCCTGGATCTAGAAGCGAACTAAACATGTGCATGGATATTTAGTACAAAAACAAAAGCAAGAGTCAGAAAGGGAAGTCAAGGGACCAACAGCCCACCACAGTGGCAAGAAGATTACTTTAAACTAAAAGCATGTGAACAAACAGCAGCCTAAGAAAGAAACGCTCCTTGACTTAAGGAGACTCTCCTGAAAATACAGCTGCCATTAGCCCACTCACAGATGGAAGGTGACTCAACACCAGGAGGTGCAAATTCAGATGCCATCAGTCTCCCTCTAGGGGAGCTTCCAGGCAGGAAGGATATGCCCATTATCATCAGAATGAAAAGGTCCAATAAAACTTTCTATACCTCCTACTGAAGCCCTAAAACTGCCCCCTTTGGTTAAACTGGTATATAAACCCTTACCCCTAGCTATTCAGTGAGTCACTTTTTTGTAGAGTACTTCTGCATGCCCATGAAAGAAACTTCTGTTAATCTATCTCTTATGGATGAATCCACAGGCCCTCAACCAATAGGCTGTAAACTGGTAGAGGAAAAGTTTTGCTCCCAACAGAACCTTAGCTGGAAAAGGCCAGAGTAAAATTTTAAGCTAACTATTTAGGACCAAAGAAATAGTGAACAAACACTTTTGAGATCAAAGATGGGCAGCGGGACAGAACACAACACGATTTTGACCTTGCCCCTCAAACACCACTGACATCAACAGAGAGACAGGGGGTGTGACGCTGACTGGGCCACCACGATTGAAAGCAAGAAGACTAAATAAAATTAAGCACAGACAAAATAAAGCTAACTAGCTATCTAATCTTTTTCTCAGAAGTCTTTTAAAGGTAGTTTACACGCTTGAAGCATTAATATGCACCTCTTTTCTGAATCATCTAATGAAAAATCGGTAGAAGGCATTAAGATTATGTAATTTTCTATTGTCACAAGGTAAAATATAAAATTGAAAGTTAACAACAATAGAAGGGTGTTATGACAGAAAGGCACTTTCCTGGAATATAACTTTAAAGTCTTGAAAATAATCAACCAGTCTAATAAACTAGGGTAATCACAAAGAGATGAATAGGATAGCAGGGCAGCATCTTTTTTAAATGCCTAAAGGATAAAAATGCACAGCCTTGCTGAATGAATATCCAAGAGGCAAGGACACTCTCTAAAGTTCAAATTCAATCTAATTCTCTGCTCTCTTTTATATTAAGGCCAAAAATGAATATTAACCATTTTTATTAAGTATGACCCTCATTTTTTAAATACTAAAACCTGCTAAGCAAAATGCTTCCAAATGTGGTGATACTTATTTTTCAATTTATGCATACAATTTATGCAGATACAGTTATTAACAGGCTTAATAAATTATATAAACCTCTATAATTTTTGCATTGAGGTGCAAATTTATATTCTTAACCACTGAAATAAAGAACTTTGCAGGGTAATCTAATGCCTGTGGTAGTAATCATTAGCACAGTCAGTGTAAAATAAACTTTAAAAAGAGGTACTGCTCCCAATACAAAAGACCAGTGGCATGAAAACTGAAGAAAGAAGAAGATATTTGGAGTTTGAATGAGAGCCAAATGTCTTGGTCAGAGTTCTTTTCTGATTTAGTTTCATTTTCCTGCATTTTTTTCCTGACCTTCAGGTTTGGCTTCCTCCTCATATCTATTTTCAGATCTTAATATTCAGGATATATTTTAAAAATATTTCTACTCATTTTTAGTATTTTTTTCTTTTTTTAAAATTCAATCATAATTAACATACAGAGTTCATCTGTTTCAGGTGTAAAATATAGTGATGCAACAAATATACACATTACTCAGTGTTCATCATGATAAATGTACTCTTAATCCCCTTTACCTATTTCACCCATCCCCCCACCACTTACCCTCTGGTAACCATCAGTTTATTCTCTTAAGAGTTTGTTTTTTGGTCTCTTTTTTTTTTTTTCCTCTTTGTTCATTTGTTTTGTTTCTTAAATTCCACAAATGAGTGAAATCATATGTTGTTTCTCTCTGACTCTTATTTCACTTAGCATTGTGCTATTAGATCCATCTACGTTGTTGCAAATGGCAAGATGGCAAGATGGCAAGATTTCATTTTTTATGGCTGAGTAATACACACACACACACACACACACACACACCTTCTCTATCCATCCATCTATGGATGGACACATGGGTTGCTTCCATATCTTGGCTATTGTACAAAATGCTGCAATAAACATAGGCATGCATACATCTTTTCCAATTAGTGCTTTTGTTTTGTTTGGGCAAATAACCAAGAGTGGAATTACTGGATCATATGGTAATTCTATTTTTAATTTTTTAAGGAACATACATAGTGTTTTCCACAGTGGCTGCACCAGTTTGCATTCCCACCATCAGTGCACGAGGGGTCCTTTTTCTCCACATCCTTGCCAACCCTTGTTATTTCTTGTGTTTTTTATTTTAGCCATTCTGACAGGTATGAGGTGATAGCTCACTGCGGTCTTGATTTG